CAAAAGTTTTTTTACTTGGAAGATAAAAACAAGCCTTATTTAAGACACGAGCTGTTGAAAGTTTAAAACTCTACGAGGGAGTTCGCCCTGTTTTACTGGGATAAGCTATTACATAAAATTGTGTAATATTCTATCGGGATTGGTTGAGGTTGCGGGTTGAAGGTAGGAGTTGGCGGGTTGCTTGAGTTTCTGGGATAGATTATTACTAGAATGTGTGTATAGGGTAGTATGGGCAGGCTTTGAGGAAAGTTGAGGCTGGGGTTCGGGAGGCAGGTCGGGCTGGGGGGGATCTTAAAACGGGGCGTGGCTAGGGCTAGCTGGGGTCTGTTCTAACCCGTCCCGCCGGGTTGCTTCCGGGTGCTTTGGCGGCGTGTTCTTGGGTGGGAGTTTAGGTTCAGCTTCGCGGTTTGTTGCTTCTGGTTAATTTTTCTTGATTTTCTGGATTCGCGTCCGTGGAGCAACGATAGTCCGATAAGCTGGCAGGAGTCTGTGGCTTGGGTTTTTCCTTACCAAACGCGGTCCACAAGTGAAGGGGGAGCATTGACACCGTAGACCAGAGCTGCGCTGAAAGCATGCCTTCTAGCGTCTGACGCTTACGTCTGGAAAGCTGTTGGAAGCCACCTGGCCTGCCAGAGCGCCGCCCACACTGGCCTCGATGGTCAGCTGTCAGCTAGCAGCCTCGACTTCCAGGCCCCGTTGTTTTGGAGAGGAGAGGCCTGAGGGTGCCTTCTACACGTCGTCCCTCTTCATCCCTGCTCCATTCTCAGGCTCCTGGTCAGGAGGCGCGGCACTCGGACTGTCTCTTGCAGAAGTGGAGTCCAGTTCGCTGCCAGTTCCCGCTAGTGCTAGCCCTCCCGCAGGCCAGCCTTGCCGGAGGCGGTGTCAAGGCCGCGGCCCCTGCCCCCTGCTTGAAACAAATGACAGCGACCGAACTTGGACCCTTTTGCGATACTCGTAGCCGTCGTAGCCTTTTGTGAACCAAAAGGGGGGTAGAGCGGGGTAGGGCCACTCTGTCGAGCCAATCTGAGCATGGCAGAGAAGATCCTGGTTGTGGCGACGTTCGTCTTGAGCCTGTTCCTGAATGCTTTGGCAGCACGTGGATTCCTCTCCGCCCAGTCGCTCGGTGCAGCTCACTCCTGACATGATGACGTTGTTGGTTTGGATTGCAACCTACACCCTCGAGGGCATGCAGTGCTCTCCATCGGAAAGCTCTGAGAAGCTCTTGCAGCAAAGGTGCTTCCTCACAGACCTTTCAGTTCGGTGGCGCCTGGTCATTGCCTTTCTCCTGAATTCCCTCTGGTTGCCACTCTATGCCAAGATGCTCTAAGGAAAAGCAATGCTGGTCATCGTCGTATACCTGGCATTCCTCCTCTCGATCTATGTTGACATGAACACCAAGTCTACATCTTCGTTTGCAGAGTGGGCAATCTATGCCTCTGGCATCGCATGCAATATCAGCTGGGTGCTGGTGGCAGCGGCTGCGAACAAGTTTACTCTTGCCGGGTCCTATGGGTGGACTGATGCTTATGGAGTTTCAGGAACCCCGCAGGCTGCAGTGATTGTGGTTGGTATCCTTGCAGCTGTGGCGGTTATGGTGGCTACCCTCCGTTGCGATTTTGGGCTTTCACTGGGCTTTACCGGCAGCAAACCCTGTCGGATGCCAGCTTTCCTCCTCAGGCCATGAACAGGGCTCTGGCTTTGTGTGCAGCTTGGGCAGCTGTTGTTGTCGGAGTGGCCACTGGAATTGGCATGTTCCTGATTCCGTACAACGGAATCTTCCAGTCGACAAAGCGCGACTCGCACGGGGAGCTGCCGCTTGTGAAATACTCGGACGGGGAGCTTCCGACAAAGCGCGACTCGCACGGGGAGCTGCTTCCGCCGGTAGTTTTTTACGGTGAGCCTCTGCCCATGAAAAGATGAGCAAACCGTGAAGTCCAACGCCGGCAGCTGAACGCTAAAGGCAAAATGTTAGAATCGAAACCTCCATGATCAACTCATTGGGGCTCAGGTTTCAGTTTTCCGCGGAGAAGCGCCGCATGCTGTGATTTTGCAGTTTTTTGCAGCCGGCTGCGGATTGGCAGTCGGCCAGCAGTGTAGCTTTAGCGCCTTCAGAGACAGAAGGGCAGCAGAACGTGCTCCGCCTACTCCGGCATAGATGTTACTCATTTCGATGATCATGTGAAGTCTGCGACAGGGCTTGCAATGGCTCCTCGCCACGGTAGACAAGGAGAAGAAGGAGAAGGCTTGGGTGCACGAACTTTCAGGCACTGCGCAAGGTGTCCTGTAGCTTGATCTCAGACCAGGAATGGCTGGCACAGAAGTTTGAGGAGAAGTGTGTGGAGGTTCAATCGCTGTACCAGGTGCGTACTGCACAGTTGAGAATTGGAGAATTCTCCGGCCCTTCCTGCTTGGGGCTTGAAGGAGCTGCAGCGAGTGCGGATGCAATTGGACCAACAAGGTGAGAGCTCCGGCTGTGCAACCTGATGCATTGATGCAGCACGTACTTGATACCTGTGGGCCATCTTGAGAGTTGCAGATACGACGCCGGAATCCTTCGTTTCGCAGTGGGACGGCAGAAGGATGTGACATGATGTCGGGATTCGAAGAGGCCGCAAGGCGGCGACAAAACGCAAAAAGCTGGGCCGTTTGGGCGTGGACGGGTCTCCAGTCTCTGGACCTGGTGGAGAAATTGTACCTTAGCTCCCCCGCTTTTGGATGCCTGGCTTCTGAATCGGAGCGCAGGGTGCGTGAGAGGCATTGGGAGGTTGAGTCTTGAACGAGGCCTAAGAGACACACGGACCCAGAAACTGCCAGACACAAACCATCATATCGTGTCTCTGTGGGTCTGGGCGGTAGCCGTCATGCTGCAAAGTCGGTGCCGGGGAGGGAGCATCCTTGTGGCTTGTCTTCAGTGCATGCAGGAAGAGCAGTGTCGTCTTCGCCTGCCTGGCACGTCCTTTTACAAAACTTCGCTCAGAAAGACACCGTTTCTTTTTTGGGACTCGGGGGGACGGTCCGGGGGGACGGCTCTTCTCTGAGCTGAGAGCCAGGTCCTTCGCCTCGCCGGCCTCGCCCTCGCGCATGTCACCTGCAACAAGCCAGGCGACACCCGAACGGGACTTGGGACTCATAGCTGCGCAGTATAGACGCAAGAGTCTTTTGCAGAGTGTGGAGAGGAGATCTCTCCATCTTCATCTGTCGGCGCCCACTCTGCGATTGCCCAGAGGCCCCCGGCCTAAGCTGACTCCGGAAGCGAGACTCACAGAGTCTTGTCAGGCGTGGACTGAAGCTCAATGTCGAGACGAACCCAAAGAGGTCGCCTTTGACGCAGCCTCCCAAGGCAGGTCGTGCGACTCGCGCGGTGCCCATAGCGAGGCCTCGCACTTCTTCGCTTCGCTGCGCTGCGCAGGTCGTCGTCCAGCAGGCTGTCGACGGCAACGCAGCAGCGCTTGCCCGGGCAAAGTCGTCTCCGGCATTGAACGAAGGCAGCGGAAGCGGAGTGAGGGGTCCAAGCATGTCCGTTCTTAGAGCCCTCTTGGAGGAGATCCGTCTCGGGAGCCCATGTCCGCGCTTTTGCGGCGGCGCCAGGAGGTGTGGCTCTTGGCGCCGAGGGGCCCCACAATACTCAAGAGGGAAACGTGCGCGGCGGGCCGGAGGACTGGACGCCCCTACTGGATGTCACGGCCACCGGCGAGGAGCCTCTCACCCCTGGCCTGGGAAAGGGCAGGAAAGGCGCAAGAGGTGCCGCCACTGCAGAGCGCAATGTGGCCTCAGGTATAAAACAGTAGACATGCATGCCGTCCCAGGAAGCCTGGGAAGCATTGGGTCCGTCAGCGCCCTCCAGGTGGCAGCGGACAAGGCAGGTGTTTATATTTTTACGCCGCCACGGCCGAGCTGCGGACCCAGGGTGTTTAGTGTTTGGGGTTTAGGGATGTTTGAGGTGTAGGGGGTTCAGGGTATAGGGCTCGGGGGTGTTTAGGGTTTAGCCGCTTTAGCCTTCAGACTTTAAGGTTGAGGGGGGTTCAGGGTTTAGGGCTCAGGAGTGTTTACGATCTAGTGTGTAGGGGTGCTGAGGGTTTAGGCTGTCTAGGGTTTATGGTGTAGGGCAGGCGTGTTGAGGGTTTAGGGTTTAAGCGTGTTTGTGGTCTGGGGTGTTTAGGGTGTATAGGGGGGTTTAGGTTTTAGGGTTTACGGCTTTGGGGTGTTTAGGGTTGAGAGTGTTCTGAGGCCATCACCTGAGAAAACAGCCAGGAATTACCGACAATATACGCCATCACGGCATGATGTTCTGTATATCTAATATGTGATATAGGAATACAGAAATAAGTGATAATACAGTGATCTTGTAATATAGTAGTAAAGTAAGATAGTAATATGGCAATATAGTAAGATGGATAATATATATATATATATATATATATATACATACACACATTAGTAAAGTAATGTAGTCGTGTTTAGGGTTTAGGGGTGTTTGGGGGTGTTTTGGGTTTCGGGGTGCTTAGGGTTTAGCGTTTAGGGTTGAGGGGTCTTTTCTGGCAGGTTTTTTCGATGGACGACTGTCCGGCATCGCCGAAGCGAGTGAGGTTGGCCTCCAAGCCATGAGAGCTCCTCCCAAAGAGTCGCTCCCCTATGCCTCGATGGGCATCCGTCTGAGCATGCCATGTGTTTGAAGAGCTTTCAAGTTATGTAGCTGCAGTTGTGCGATCTGAGTAAGCTTGGCTTGAAGCCACGTCCTTGAAGAGGACTTGTTTGAGTTGCCGTGTTGATAACGATTGATAATGTGCCTTGTGAGGGCGTCGGCTTTGAAGGCCGTACGTCGCGCTCATTGATTTTCAACGATCATTTTCATCCCCGAAGGGGGCAGTTCTCATGACAAAGCCGGAGCACTGCTTCGCCTGCTGCCGCCATCAATCCGCAGGTTTCACCAGCAAAAGAGTGGCCCATGGACCTTTGAATTGATGTCTGTCGTCTGTCGTTGCTTCTTCCCGGTGCTTCAGGTGACCACGTTAAAGAAGCGACTGGCGTCCGCAGAGGCCAGGAGCTGCCGGCTTTCAAGGCGTAGCTCTGGTTTTCTTCTTTTGTGGTGGAGGTCGAGCTCGCTGAGAAAGACGAGGAGCTGTCTGGGCTTCAGGAGGCAAGTGACTTCAAGTGACTTGCTGGAGAAAGGACTCTTAAGGGCCTGAAGGGTTCAGCAGCAGGCCGTTGCCCATGGATCTCAGCAGGTCACGGCCAAGGCAGGTTCAACGCTCCGTTTCGTTGTCCTTTTTGGAGTGCGAAGCTCCGTAGGGGTTGCGCCCTCCGAACGAATGTAGGCACTGCAAAGAAGTCTCTTGAGCTCATTTCGGAGTGCTACTGGGTTGATGGGCAAGAGCTCCCAAAAACTTTGGAGAGGTGTGTGCAGAAATTTTGAGTCGGAACTTTTGGTGAAAGCTCGATTCAGTCGCGGACTCCGATTCGAGCAGCGCGACGCATTCGATGAAACAGCATTGGCGGGTGAGGGGACATGGTTTGAGGGTTGCCAGTTGCAGGTTTTGGGGTCTAACTTGTACTGTAGGGGTTACGGGGAGGGAAGAGGGAACAACCCATAAAACTCATTAGCTCTCCCGTCCGTCACGTCGCTCAGGCTGCTGAGCTGCAGACGCTGATGGATCAGCACAAGCTTCAGGGGAGCAAGGCGACCATGGATTGGCTCAGTATGGAGCTGTCGCAACGGCTCAAGATGACCGCAGGTGGCGAAGCTGCAGAAGGACAGCGACCTGCTCCACCGGCACATGGCCATCGACCAGTGGCGCCACCAGGTCGAGGCCGCCCTCACAATACCAGGTACATCATGTCAATGAGGTTCTGATATGTCTAGCAAAAGCCGCTGACGCTGAGGGAAGGCTTCGACAGTCACGTCGGTTGCCACAAACTTCTCCGATCCGGTTTCCCATTCACAATGACTGTGAACTACCGACGTCGACGATGAATCAAAGCAGTAACAACAGAACTGACGCCAAGCGGCAGCCTCAACTTCCTTGTTCAAGCGGTATGGTCAAGTATGGTTGCTTTTTTTTGGCAGCGTTTGTCTTCGCTGCCGCAGCTAGATGGGCAGGCTCTCGTGGAGCAGGAGCAAGAGGATGCGGCCAGCACCCCAAGGAAAAGGAAGAGCCATGTCTTGAGCAAGCGGAGCCTCGGAAGAGGTGAAAATCCGAGAGCGACGCGAGCACCAGAGGCAGATCGAGGTCTTCCAAGAGGCACCTTGCGGCACCTTGCAGATCCTCGCTCGTCTCGGTCTTGTGCTTCCTTTTGTGCTCTCCTCGCAGCTTCCGGCTTGCCACAGTCAGCCTTTGTCAGCTTCTTGGGCTTCTAGTAAAAGTATGCAAGCTTGTCTGTAGCACTAGCGTATTCGTCTTTTGGACACCACATAGTAACGTATCGGTGAAAAGTCCTGTCCACAAATATCTCATGTCGCAATGGGTGAGGTGGCTGAACCATGTCTGCCAGCGTCATCCGCTCGCTTTCGGCGTGGCTGTTTCCACCGGTAAAGCCGTAACAGCAGATGTTGTGGCACAGAAGATGCTGGAAGGTAAGGAGAAGCTCGACCGACAGCGGATCCTGGTTTTCAGTTGCTTTGGCTTCTTCTACTGCGGGTTCTCACAGCATGCCATATACTGTGTTGCATACCCTCGGCTGGTCTCCGCCCTTGCTTTGCGCCAACCTGCGCAAACCATCTTCCAGATCGCGGTGGATCAGGTCCTTCATATTCCGTTCTTCTACTTTCCAGTGTTTTACACTGCCTCCGGCCTCTTGGGGGCGCGTTTCAGCTGTTGCATCTTAGGCAGGTTTTGGATTCTCCGGTCTTGGGTCTTGTTGGGTACTCTGTCGACTCTGCTCGCATCTGCTCGCATCTGCTCGCATCTGCTCGCTGCTGAGGCTGCGTGCAGTCCTTGACGGGAGCTGCAAGCTTCAGTCCGAAGACGATCTTCTTGCAGTGGTACTCCAACGTGTGGGCAGATGTGCAGCGTTGTATCAGCTTTTGGCCTCTTGGGGGCATCCGGTGCAGAGATTCTCCAGCTGCCAGCACCACCCCTTATAGGACAAAGGGAACCTGAAAGTCAGAACATGCGGTAACTATATACTATACTCCATATACTCCCCAGGCTTCCTGCGCACTGCATGACCTTCACCGTGGTGCCTGCGCTGCGTTTACAGCGGGCTTGCATGAAATCCCCTCGCCTTAGTCGGCGTGCCGAGCAGCTAAGCCACGCTTGAGCTGACCTGAGCCTGAGCTGAGGTGCCCCTTCACTGGCGGATACCTTGGATTGCGGGCGTAGGTCTCGCTTGGCTGACCTTCCTCTCTGCTTTCAGAGGGCGAGAGGTGGAACAGAAATTGGTGGAGTGAAGATACAAGCCTCCCCTTCTCCAACCGAGGCTCTCAGATGTACAGATGCAGCATGAATTTGCCGCATGAACCTGTCTGCCTGTCAGAAGCGATTGGCTCATGGCAACCGGCATAAACCCCGAGATGTGCAGCTGCACATGGAATTCGCTTGACCAGCTGCGGCCAGAGGTGCCTGCAAGACCTTGCGACAGCTCGTTCAAAGAGGATTCCAAAAGCCGCGAACGGGCCAGCCTTGGCCAAGATCGGCAATTGGCAATTGAATGGTTTAGGGTGGGGTCTTCCCTGCCTTCCCCTGTCACAGGAGATCGTGGCACTGAAGAGCTACATCGCTCGCATGGAGGAGAAGTGCCAGTTTCATGCCTTTCGGCTACCAGATCAGATCCCTTAAAGCGCTTGTCCGTGAGCTGCATGAGGCTTCCCGCGCTTGCAGTGTGCCTTTCATGAGGCCGGAGAGGTCCACCGGCGGAAGGAAGTCTTGAAGGCGCTGGTGATGGAGGCGCGAAGCAGTTGCATCGGCATCGATGCACCTCAGAGAGCCCGAAATGCTCTACTCTACCTGCAGATGCGAGGGCTGTGGGCTCTCTTGCTGTGCAAGCCACGACGCATGATCGAAGGAGCGGCTCTGTGTCGCTGCCGCTCGGCTTGGCCACGAGGCGAGGCTCCGCGAGGGAAAGTGCACCCTGAGACCCTGAGCAGCTGAAACTTCCGAGACGGCGGACGAGCTGAAGCGGGGTCAGATGGAAGAGCAGCGTGTCCTCGAGGACCCCCGGGCCGGGGTTTTCAGCTTCGGGCCCGGCGACCACCGAAGGTGGGGTTGTGGCAGGCTCGCCTCCACGAGGAAATGGGCCGCAGGACTTCGCTGCCTGCGCCGGAAACCATGTCTGAGTTAGTGACAGTTTCAAGCCCTTTTGGTCGCCGAGGCAAGCCAAGACATACGAACAGATGGAGGCCGACCTTGCGCGTTTTGTGGCATGGGAGCCATTCGATCTCGTGATTTCTGCAGGCTCACGCGAGACACGACCAAGAGCAGCTTGCTGCGCTGACTGTGTGTGTCAGGCGGGGTATCGCAGGAAGATGTCCAGCACTGCGAACCTTGGAGCGGGCAGCGTCCGATATGAGCTCAAGTCTCCGGGACGATATCTGCCGATGCGCATGTCTCACTACGATGGTCGCAGAGACAAAGCATGAAAAAAAGCTCTTCTGAGAGCTCCGGCAGCTGGCCCGGCGGCCCATGACATGGGCCATGAGTTCCGAGCAGCTTCGGTGCGGCCGCCTGCGTCTGGAGGTCGCCTCGGCGTCCTCGGAGTGGCCGCTGCTCCTGGGCATGGCAAAGACTCCTGAGACGCTTTGCCAGGCGAGGTGGGGAAGGGGAAGGTCCTTCTTGCCCACGTTGCGGAAGCTGGGGTTGCAGCACCGACATCGCCACGCTGTGTACCTGCAAAAGTCACTGGCGACGGAGTTCTGGGGCGGTTCCGGCCAGGATCAGGGCATGAGAAAGGTTCTTGGAGCGCTTGCCAGCCTTGGTCGGAGCATGCTGCGAAGTGGGGTGAAGCAACTAGCGGTGCTGGACGTCGGTGCTGCAAGCTACGAAGGCCCTGACCGTTGCCACGCAGCGGAGATGGCGGTGCTTCTGGGCTGTTCGGCAAGTTTCCAGATCCACGCTTTCGAGCCGCTACCCCGCGAGTTGGAGCGCACGCGGCGCAGTGCGGAGCAGCGGCTTCGCAGGGACCTCTCGCTGGGCCGCCGCGCAGCACGGAGGCGGGCGGGCCGGCGCCGGGCAGTCGCGTAACGCAGTATAGAGGCCGCGCATGGAGAAGCAAGTGTGGAAGCACAGTCGCAACTTCTCTCCATGCAAGGTGCATCAGCTGGCAGCAGCGTGCTGTGTCCAACGCCAGCGGCGAAGCTCGCCTTCGGGGATCCGCCAACCAGGCGTCGCTCTCCCGACACATCCCGGCCAGCACAAGGAGTGCCGACTACGTGTCGCAGGAATCTGAAGCTGTGATGACCCAGCGTCTCGATGACTTTGCACGGGAGGTGGGGGGGTTGGCGCCTAGCCTTCTTCTCAAGATCGATACCGAAGGACATGACTTGGAAGTGCTGCAGGGAGCCAGGTCCCTGCTCGAGACCGGGGACGTCGCAGCCATCGTCTTTGAAGTCGCGGGGCAGATGAATCCGGATTTCTTCCGACTGCACAAGGAGCCGCAACGCGTCTTTCATCGAGGTGACTTCACGACCCTCGCAGAGCCCACGCTAGAGAGCATGGTCCGCTGGCTCGGGGCTCTCGGCTACGTAACTTGGATCAAGAGCGACCGTGATCTAACCATAGTTCAGTCTTGGCCAACGGCCCCTGCTGCTTTTTTTGGTGTGGTGTGGTGCAGGAGAGCTTTCTTCTTGGCAGCCGATCGCTGATCCCTCTGAGCGGCTCGTGGTGGGACAGGAGCTTCGAAGTCTGCTGGAGCCGGCCGGAGCTCAGCTGCTGGTACGACGTCCTGGCGCTTCCGCGGGCCGGCAGGAGATGCAAGATCTTTTGTTCGTTCTTGGTTTTGCTGCTTGTGGCCGTCTCATGGCATGTTTCCCGAGGAGTGGGTTCTGGAGTGCTTTTGCCCCACGAACCGTTCTGCTGCAAGCCTTCGCAGAGATCCCTTAGAGTTGGATTGCGTTCAGTGTGCATTCAGTCCACCTTACAGTAATCTTTCTGCAAGCACCTTGAGCTGAATCTGGTTCGAAGCTCGCTGCTGCGACGTCTCGGAGCTGGACGTCTGACCAAGGGGTCGCAGAGATCTGATCGAGCATGGCTTCAAGATTTCAGGAGATGTGTCTGTCTTCAACTTGGAGGCGCTGGATTTTCAGACGGATCGGAGACTCAGAATCGGAAGGCCCCGAACATCTTCGCTGCTGCCGACTTCAGTGTTGCAACGCTCAATAGCTCGGGCAGCACGGAAAAAAGTGTGGTCCTGCTCATTTCAAGCTCTCAAGGGTTTGTACCGGTCAAGTTTGCGGCAGGGAGGCGGCGCGAGCTATGAAAGACCACGGACCCCACATCTCCAAGACTGCCGTAGACGATGCCGTCGACAGCTTCCTCCAGAAGATGCGGCACCAAGGGGTCGGGGGCCCTGCGAGACGTTCCTTGCGCTTTTACAAGGCCCCTTCTGACTCGAAAACAGGAGCTGGCTCCCCCAATCCTCCGCATGAGCTCGGGGCCGAGGGGGGCCGCTTCAAGTGGGGCTTAGGGTTTAGGGTTTAGGGTTTAGGGTTTGGGGCTCCGCTCGGTTCGGAGCTCCGCCGCCGCCGACCGCCGAGGCGCCTCTGCTCACCTCGTCGCAGATCAGGCCGTCACCCTGGAGCTGACACACGCTGCTCGTGCCCCGGAAACCCTCTGTCCTTGCAGCTTGTAGGAGGTTGCAGGAAGGCACAGCTAGTGCCCCAACTCAGAGACTCTACGGCTCTGGGGTATCAAGCCTTCTGGATCAGGGCTTTGCATGGCTTTGTTGTCAGCCGTTGCTTTTTGTAAATGCATGGCATGCTTGACTTTCGGTTTGCTGCCATTGTCTGCATTGTGTTTGAGTTCTCGAGATGCTAGAGCTCCATTGCTGACCCAGACGGTCAACACGCCAGAGCATCTGCTCTTGAGAGCATCGCCCTGTAAGTGTTCCCAACCACAGCGAACCGAGTGCGTCTGCTGCGTGGGACGTCATCTGTTTCGGTTCTTGTCGTTGCACATCTTCACAGCATTGGGAAGTCTGAAGGGCGTCCAAGGCTTAGCACTCCCCAGTGCTACAGCAGAGTGTCTCTGACGGGCGTTAGCTGGATACTGGCCATATTATGGCCAAGTGTTTTTGAGGTCCTGAACACAGAGACCGATTTGAAACCAAGTGCACAATTCTTTGGATTCCTTGCTGCTACTTGACGCGTGGCCGCCGGTTGTGGGGACGAGACATACAACAGTGTGCTGCAACAGTTGGATTGTGCTGGCACACAGCTGCAGGGACAGCTCTGCGTTCGGGGCAAGTCAGGGCTTGTCCCTATGGCTGCCTGGGCCCCAGTGAGTTCAGGCCGGCCTGGTTACTTCCATTGTGTCCAGCTGTGAAGGATTTCCTCCGACAACATGGCTTCATGAAGAAGCATCACGAAGGCCAACCAGCTCTCCCATTCCGAACAGGTCTGTGAGTAGTTGGACATGTGCTGCGAGCCAGGCCAACCTTTGCCGAAGCCTGCCGCCCACTCTGCAGCGGATGCAGCGCACGTCCACCCTTCCCACGCTTCCCAACCTTTGCACCCTTCCCACCCTTCTCACCTCGCCCACACTGCCCACCCTTCTACCCACCCTGTCCACCCTGTCCACCCTGCCCACCCACTCCCCGCACAGACGACGCACCCAGCACATGCAGGCTATCCAGCTCGGCACGCACACCCACCACACTTGGCTCACCCAGCTCACGCAGCACATCCAGGGCACCCGGCACACCTAGCAAACGCTCACCAGGCACCCCCAGCGCACTCACACATCTCTTCTTCAGGCCACGGAGCGCAGCAGCTTCATCTTGCTGCTCACAACCACCCCCAAGTGCCAAAGAGCACTCTTGGAGATGCAAAGACACCATTGCATGCGGCAGCAGAAGCTCATCTGACGCCGCACAAGATGGTCGCGGTCTCAACTGGCAAGAGCTGCCAAAGGCGTGACATGCCGTTCTGTCATCTCAGGTTCATCACCAGGAGGGTGTGACGATGGCGGTGTGATGAATCGCCGTATTGTCAGAAATAGACCTCTTTGCAAGGTTTGTCGGACCAGCCGCAGCCCGATGTGAACAAGTTGGGTTAGTGCTTAGTAATCATTGACTGCAGCTTTCTCTCTCGAGCGAGCTCTTTCCACTGAATCCTGCGCCCATGCATCTGCTCTGCCAATGCATGGCAGCAGGATTTACGACACACACACGTGCGATGTGCCGGATGGCATTCTCCGGAACCACCCCCGCTTTGGCATTGGGCCAGGGGGGTTCGCCTCCGACTGCATTCATGGGTGCACCGCCTAGCATGTCGACCTCAGGGGAAGCGTTCGCCGGCTGGCTGATTGTTGCATTGAGGGCCTCGTCGTCTTTCTGCTGATGACCATCTTGACGATGATTGCTTTAATTGCTGCCCTCCTAAATCAGGCTGGAGAGCAAGTGAGTACGTGGAGGCTTTTGAGGACAAGTATCGGATAAGAAGGCTCAGCACAGACGCTTAGTCGGGCAAGCTTGAGCTTTTGGGATCTCAGAACGCCATGGTAGTCGACCCTCCATATCGGGAGTAGCTCAAGCTTTGCTCTCCGGCGAGCGGCTTGGCTTGGCGTGGTTTTGTCATCAAAGTGATGACCAGTGGCTGCGGCCCGAGCATCGACAGCATGCTTATCGATGAGATGCCGGGCTGAAGAATCGGAAGAATCAGTCGCGGCGCTTGCTGTTTCATCCGATGCTCCGAGAGTTTCTGGGCTCGCAACCGTGTGCTGTGTGACCCCAGGAATGTGCCTCATTGTGCCTCTGTATCCTGGCCCAGCCCATGATGCTCCAAGATGTGTACCGTGGATATGGTCGAGGTCGAAATGAGTAAGGTGGCCATGTTTTTCAAGCTGAAGAACGCTTCACCCCGTAGAAACTCCCCGAACTTCGCATGGTGCGAAGCAGGGAGATCGTGCAAGACAGGGGATTCGTCCTGGAGGCAAAGAGCCGCCCTGATGCGCTGTTCTGTTCGGGTTTCGTTTTTTCGGTGGTGCTTTGAAGCGTAAGCTTGTGCCGGGCAGCGAGGCGAACTTTGCAGTCGTCGTGGATCAAACCAGTGCCAACACCCTGCCTTGTGCTGCCTTGTGCAAATGGAGGCGCGCCGATGTGTTGTTCTCGGACACCTCCGTCTCCTCCCAGCTGTGCCCAGATCTCCTCAGCGAGTCGCCAGGCTGCTCAGTGTGCGGATGGACTCGCAGGCCAGATCCGGTCCCTCATCGAGGCGCGCGCGGGCTCAGTCTCGTCGCCTCGTCGCCTCGCAGCTCGGATCCCTCGGAGGCGGAGCTTGCAGAGAGGGTTGCTCAGCTAGATCGTCGCGAACGCTCCCTTGCGGCACCTCGGCACCGATGGCTTGGAGTCAGCCCCCTTTAGCCCGAAGGGCCCCGTGTTGTCAAGCGGATGCTGGGTGCCTTTAACTTTAACTCCTATGGCGACTGCTTGCAACTCGTGTCTCAGCATTACCAGAGGTCCAGCCCGCTAAGTTTGCGAATGTCAGTCATAGTTACGTCATGTCCTAGCAAGGCCGGAGGCGCAACCCAGCAGATGTGCTTGTGCATTTGTTCTGCGTTTGAGTTTGCTACAGGAGCGAGAGGAACTGTTGAAGCAGCGTGAGCAGGCACTGGTTTTAGCCTCAGATGGAACAGCATGTGCTGCAGCGACGGCCGACTTCTTCATTCAAGGCAGCTGCTGAAGCACCGACGCCGGCGAGATCGCTGTTCCAGGCGCTGCTTCATTCCACTGTTCCTACTACAACCTGATTTTCATACCACAACCAGAACCCCACCGCGCCTGTACGACGGCTACAGTAACAAGGGGTGACGCGACTTCCAAACTTGCATGTGAACCGCTCAGGAGTTCAAGATCATCACACCTGACATGTACTGTACTGTTTGAGGGGTAAGTCTGAGTCATGTCCCTGCCTACCAGCGGTTCGAACCGAAAGCCACATCTCCACAGCTTCGAAAAGTGTGAGACTTCAGCTTGTCGCATTTCTCGAGATTTTCAAGCTTTTCGGTGCTTTGTGCTTATCGAACTTTTTGTTACTGTTCGGCCTCCCAAAACATTGATTGTGCCATGCACCAAGTTGCGGTGCGATCCAGTGGGTAGCCAGTCGGTGCAGACATCACGTAAAAAGTGTACTTCTTACGAGGCGCACGGCCTGTTCTGAGCTTCCGATTTTGTCATCCATTTCGTTGATGCTATTTCGGCATGCATCGGCAGGCACGGCCCTTCATAACTGCCTGCAGGTCCAAGCCGAAGCTCCGCGGGCAGGCGGTCGCGTGTGCGACCCAGCGCTCTGCATTGTCAGTGGATTTCCGAGCACCAGAGATCTGACGTTGTCTTGGTTTGTGTTCAGGTGACGCATGCGTGGAAGGCCGGTGGGGCTGCTGGGGAGGCCCCGGAACGCCCGCTCCTGGATGCTTGTGGGTAAAGTTTGTTGAGTCATTGAGTGTGTTGCCAGGGCCGTGTCGAGCAGAAGGCGTGCTGAACCTTCCTACGGTGGTATAGTGCGGCGGGCCATAGCAGCGGATCATGTTGTGTCGTTTGCAGGCCACACCCTCAACAGCATCCAAACCAATGGGAGAAGGCCAACCGACTCTTCCAAACTCTTCGTCGTGTCACTCTGTTTCTACTTCGTTTCCTGAGGCATGCGGCAGCACCGACACTCGGCGTCTTCACCTCAGCAGCCTTTGACTGCGCGTGGACGGATGAGCTTCTGAGCAGCTCCGAGGCCCTGTGTCCGCAAGGAGAGTGTGGCAGAGCCCGAGAGCGCGAAAGAGCAGCTGGCGCCCGAAAGGGGTGGCCTTTGGTTAACAAAACAAGCGAAGAGCCCTCTTTCGTCTGGTTGCGCTTCCGAAGGCCGGCTGAAATCTCAGCGGTCTCCGCGGGCACCGCGAATGAGCTCAAGGACCGGGAAGCGGAGGACAAGCGGAGCGTTCGAAGTTCGAACCGAGTTGTGGCAGGACCTCTTCGAACAGAAGGCTCCGGAAAGTCCCCGCAGATTCTTTGGGAAAGGCTTGTGGTGTGCGAGGCCCAGTCCCAGGCTCAGTCGCCAGAGCAGAAGCGCTCCTGGAAAGCGGCCTGGGCCCTGGCGGCCCTGGCCCTGACCGACAGAGAGTCCATCTGTCATGCGCACGACGAGAGGTCCAGAACAGGCTTGACCTCCCCAACGCCGAGGGCACTGGCCTCTTCCGTGCACACGAGGTGCCAGCTATCAGAATCAGTGTGAAGGCTCAAAACGTCGACGTGAGCCATAAGAGACCCTTGGTTCGTGCGTGCCCTTCGGGCCCTTCGTCCATAGGCGCCCTTCCGACGCAGCGTGAAGACGGTGGGCCTTGGACAGCCACGGGAGAGGCGAAGCCTGCAGGAGCTGCTCAAGGCCCGTCCACGCAGCTCCGGGGCTCCGGGGTGTGGGGGGTCGCGACCTTCTCTTTCTGCTTTGTGAGCACAATACCGCAGCATTTCAAGTCATCTTCGAAATTCGGACAGTATGCTTGTAAGAGTCGGCTTCTGGCAAGCGGAGAAAGTATGCATCGTTTCATGTCCTTTCCTGTTATTGTAGTGTGTTTTGGGAGTCCCACTGCACGCCATGAAGCCTGGCACACTGGGCGCCATCGTTGCGGCCGTTGCAGCCGCTTTGTATGGAGGCTGGGCGGGTCATCACAAGAAGGCAGCGAGGTTCGCTGAAAAGGCGACTTCCTGTTGTGGCAGCTTTTTGATCCGCTGCTTTTGCGAGGTGTGCTGTTTCCACAAACACCGAGCCCTGCCGATCCCGATGTGTCTAAGCTCAGCCAGCGCTTCACGGACGTGATCGGCGAGTCTTTGAACCTGCGCATCAGCTGCAAGGGACAGATGGTGCGAGATCGTCATCCGGCCGAATTTGGGCTCTTCGTTGCAGATCCCGGCTTGCCATCTGCGCCTACATGCGCATGCGGTCTCGTGCCCTCAAAGCCCCAAGCATCCCCAAGCTTCCTCCGATCACGCAACTAGCTCATATTGTCTGAGAGCGGTCTACACCCGACAAGAAAAGCTGAGCGAATGATGCGGACAAGACGTATAGTGGTATAGGCACCGTGCACTAGCTGAAACCGGTTGCAGTTTGCTCAGTCCATGTCAGGACTGACGTCATGTCTAGTGTTGGGGCACTGTCTGCATGGTGAATCAACGGCAAAGTGGGAATCACCAAACTCCTGGCGTGTACTCGCTTGTCGCTGATGCTGGGACTCGCATGTGCCGCAGGTGACACCTTTTTCTGGTCACTGTTCACAGACAAGTTTGGCAGCCACTATGTCCTGTTTAGCACTGTTTTGATCAGTGTGTGTGATGCGGATTCCTGGTGACTGGTGATGGTGAGACCATGACCGAGGTAACCCGAACACCCCTTACATGTGGAATGCGCTGCCAGCTTTCGGGTTTCTCCTGCCGAGTCCCATGTGGAACCTGAGGCAGGACACGTGCATAGTATCACAGCATATGGCATAGTGGGCATGCCAGCACCCATCGACACAGAGGGAAGGATAAGGAAATAAAATGGGGTGACTTACTTGCCCACCCGTAAGTGTCGAAAACCAACATTTCCCGGAGTCCATGGAAGGTGCTCATGCACACTGCTGTAGTCAGGCGCGACGACGCGGTCGTCCTCATTGCCCGGCGCCCGCCTGACGTCGAGTACTTCTCCTTCACGACCTTTGCGCTCTGGATTCCACGCCGTGGCCTGCAGTTCAGCAGCCTGGGTGATTCCGACTCTTGCCTGCGCTGGATTTGGGTGCATGATAGCAGCATTGTGCAACATGGCCACGCCGCTCGCCACAGCACTCGCCACGTCAGTGTTGGGATGGGCGTCGGGAGGTCAACAACTTGAACATTCGGGAGACTCCCGAGGGCCTGTTTGCCCACGTGGTGACGGCGAATCAGAGGACCTTCGACCTTGTCCAAGCGGCTCTGGTCAGTAGCGGGCTGCCCAGCAGTGCGATCAACCTTGCCGTGGTACCTTCTGACATTGGTGGAGCCGCTTCTGAAAGAGGGGTCGCAGCTGGCACAGCCGGCACAGCTAGCAGCTTTAAGCTATAGGCTCGGTTCTGAGTCCGGTCAGTGAAAATCAGTGAAAAGAGAACTCTGAGGATTGTTCGACGACTGGACGCATTTCGAGACCGTGCTGAGACTCTTTCGCTTCGCCAACCAGAGTGACGGAGATGCTTACCTCCATTCCCACCACCCGGTGTACTATCTCAAGGCACTGCATGACGAGGTTGCCCCTCTGCCCACACCAGTCTACAAAGGCCGCCATCACCCCAGGAGTGTCCGAGAAGGCGGGCTACAGGCCGAATTCGATGTCTACAACCAGAGCCTGGGCTTCCAGCGTGAGAAACTGTGTGAGCTAATTCTTGCAAGCCGATCATGCAAGGGACGAAGCCTGGTGTCCCCGGTGCCAAGGAAGATGCTTGCACAGGTGGGCCAGGCCACGTCACGAAAGCTGACAGCGGTGCAACCTACCCAGTTTGAGCCGCTGATGATCCAAGGCTTGCAGTGCCTGAACCTTGCCTCAATACAGCCGGTTACAGACTTTCTGTTCGATGTGTGTGTGTGTGCGCGACTGTACATGGCGACCATCGAGTGAGACGCAAGATTTGCCGGTGTCCTGGACGCCTGTGCCAACGAAGCTATTCCAAGAAGGGTCTAGGGTGGTCTAATCAACCACCTGTGCTTGCAAGCAATGCCAGCCCAAAGGACCCTTAAAAGTGTTGCTTTCAGCATTGGCGGGACAATGAAAGTGACGCTGCATGGTTGCCTTAATGTCGGTCGCTCACCGCAGTCGTTCGTGCCGAGCCAAGGTGTGTATGTGTGTGTGTGTGTGGGTGTGTGTGTGTGTGTGTTTGGAGTCTTGCTTGCTTGTGTTGCTAAAGAGCCGAGGCAAGAAGGCACCGAGTGTCTTGGGGATTGCCCTGATGCGGCATATTTTGGGCCCAACATCCTCGAGGACAGCGACGTAATCGATATGCTGGAGATGTCGGGGAATGAATTGCACCTGGTAAGTGTGGTGAACCATCGGCTTCTGAATGCATCGATCTATGGGAGTGTGGCCGTGCTCAAGAGTGCACGCCCAAGCCTCAGCAAGACTCACATGAGCATCCGTGCCACGAGCCTGGGAGTGACGAGCTTTGACTTTCCACAGGATCGGTTCGTTACGTGGGCATTCACTAGGACTTCTGCAATCTGTGAGCAGCTGGGAGAAGCTGTGGCTGGTTGCTCAGTGGTTGAAGATGACCACGTGGAGCGTGCTGGATACCTTACTTACTGCGAAAGAGTGTATCTGAATCCGATCACGGGTACAGGCCCAGAATCTAGACCCTTGTTCAGGCAAAGTTGTGTTCTTCCTGCACTCCATGTACCGTACTTTGATGTGCGATCCTTCACTTGCATTCCTGGTACTGGCCCCAGGACTGGCAGGACCTGATCTCAGCAGTGATCTACCGCCTGAAGCTCGATGAATTGCCGAAGCTTGAACCTCTGCTTTCATCGGACTTGCCCAGCATTCTGCCGCCTGCAGTTCCCATCACCGTCTTCAATGGAACGGCGGCCGGTCTTCATTTCTTACATGTCGTGAAGACAGGCGGAGAGTCACTGGAACTTCACCTGGCCAACCAGCCGGCGCCTTCGCTGGCCTACGGCGCGTGCAGGGCCGCTGCAGCAGGGGCCCAGCTGTGGCCCGAGACTACGGCCAGGATGCCTCTGTGTCTGGCGCTGTCCCGGGCCGTGACGCTTGCGCTCTGTGCCGCCAACTGTGAGTGCTGTGCAACGGATGTGCTGGAGGCGACGCCGAAGTCACACGGTCCGCTACTGAAGGGTACCGTCCTCCGTTCACCGAGATCGCACGTCTTATCTCTTTTCTCTCACTGTCACATGGCGCACCACAACACCTGGAAGAGGATGTGGGACGACCTGCCTCAGTACGCAGCCGAGGGGCTTTTGCGCGCTACGGAGGCTGCTTGCGACAGCCACTGCACTCACTTCAAGGCCGATCCGATCGAAGACCTCCGCAGCCAGCTCGAACATGTAAACAGCAGTAAACAAGCACAGGTGCAAGTCATTCCCTTTCTGCGAAACATGCAGACGCATGTGTTGACCTGCCGGACGTCACAGGGTAGCCTAGGGCAGCACTTTCGGGACCTGCACTCCGAGGAGGCTCTGCCGTCAATCGAGGGCGCCCTGGAAACGCTTCGGCGCTTTGACTGGGTTGGGCTGACGGATCTCTTTGAGCAGAGCATCTGCCTCTTACATTTTCAGTCCAATGGCAGCTTGCCACGCTCCTGCGACTGCTCTGACGGCTCGGTCTCACGCCTGGCGCTGCCCAAATTCACCCACGGCCAGAAGGCCCTCTCCCCGGACGGGTTGCCTTTAGACCTGCTGAAGCGCATCGATGAAGAGACGGAGAGGGATCAGAAGCTCTTCGCCGAAGCTCTAAGGCTGCTCCTGGGCCGACTTCGGAGGGTCGAGGAGCTCACCGGAAAGTCCTTGCTCCGCTGCATTCCCTGGCGCCAGCTCTTCCGAAGAACGCGATACATCCCAGACCTTTGGGCTTCCGACGAGGGACACCTCGCAGGCTTCAAGCTGTGACCGCGAATAGAAAACTGCACAGAACGGCTCAGTCAAACTCGGTGTACCCTCCAAGAACAGGTCTGCAAGGCCCATCGAGTTCTCGAGGCATTCATCATTCCGCAGACCGCTTAGCTCAGGGGTTCAATGTGAGATCAGTTTCAGACTTTCAGACCAATGATCGTCTGCCTTGGCCTAGCGGTGCTGCTTTCGACCGTCGGCCAGGCAGTATGGTGGGAAAGCAGGCCCGAGATCTTGAGCCATCTCGAGCCCTTAGACCAAGTGCTCTCGAGATGGGACTTGTCTTCTGAGTTCGTATGGGATCAGCTGAACCGTTGCATCAGTTTCTTGACATGGAGCTTGTTTGCCCATGGAATGCTGGTCCTGACACTCTTGCTGGTGACGATACCCTTCTCATCTGCTCTGGGATGGGTGCTGCGCATTATAGGGCTGACGCTGCTGGACGGAGCCTATGCGGTGAGTGGCCTGCAGCTTGCGAAAGTAAAATTCGCCCACGGGATCGAGGGACGGGCGAAGGACACTTGGGAAGGCTGGCTCTTGGTCCACGGTGGTCTGGACTACATGCGGAGTTTCGTCTCTGGAGAAGCTGGTCCCGCTTTCGTGGCCTTGGTGCATTGGCTGCTCGGTCACATGCGTTGCATCCCATCCTATCCCATCCATCCATCCGGTGCCGCTTGCCCTTGCGTCTGCATCCTGATCTCTGGCCGAGGTTCTTGGATGACAAGGCAGCGGTGTGCAACGGCCTGCGTTTCTGGGTCAAATGATCTCAAATGATCTTTTTTGGAAGCAGGAATCTGTATATAGGACTTCGAGCTTCCTAAGTACATGACCCGCAGTCGGTCAATGTTCCTGCTGCTGTCGCTGTCGTGAGGCATCGGCCGCCACCTCGTGCATGAGCTTGCGCGAGGGGCAGCGGTGAAGCTTTGTGGAATCCAACTTTTCTAGAGACGGCAGTAGTGTGGTATCCTGGTCTATGCTATGCTCTGCGGTGGAGTCATTGCCCGACTGTCAGCCGCGTATTCACCCCAAATCCTAACTGTCGCCAGACCTTAAGCCAAAGCCCGAAGCCCGAGCTACCTCTCGGAATGAGAGTGAACATCGGAAACCTATCGGGTATGACTCGGACTTCGAGCAGTTGGGTGCGGATGTGATGTCCACCGGCAGGGTTGTCGGCTACATTGACGGAGACAACACGACCCCCAAAGATGGCTCGATTTTGCTGAACGAGCTTCAGACGCATCCTCCGGCCTTGGACGAGTATCCCAGCGGAGGACGACAGGGGCTTGGGCATGGCGAGGATACAGTGGGTGTATAACCCTGCAAAGATGACATGAATCAGCCAGAGCGGCCTGGCTTGTCCAGCATCATTGACCCACACACCGCTGCTGGTGGAACCAGCGGTTCTCATGCGGGAAACTGGCCTGGACTTTTGTGGAACCCCACCTATCTGGATCTTGACCAGTGGATGGCCGACATCCGTGAAGAACCTTGCGGCGTTGGACTGCTCTGCTTGTTGCTTTGCATAGACTGATGGCCTGGATGACACAACGCGTTGCAATCTGCAGTTTCCCCCGTGAGTTCGGATCTAGACGACATGGTGACATGGAGCTGCGCACTTGTGCCACGGTCCGAGAGGGCAGAGTGGCAGAAAGAAGCACCGCGCTCATGCTGTCCCGTAGGGCCGTAGGGCTTTCGGTTCGGGCCGTCATTGCCCCATGCCCGCAGCCAAGTGGCTCAGCGGTCGCTGCCATGCCCTGACACGCTTCCTCCCGTCCCCACATTGGGGGAAGGGAGAAGGTCTTCGAGGTCGAGGCGCCCCTTGAAAGGGTTTCCTGAAGAGAGCGAAGACGAATGGCCCTTGTGGCTTCCGAAGGCGAGGCGTCCCAAGGCACCCGAGGCATCAACGAGGTGCAGGGACCTTGGCCGCTTCGCATAATTTGCTGCTTCCTCGCTACGCATGGTCTCGCATGAAAGGCTCAATGCAGCAGACTCCATGGCGCCAGCCCGGAGTCATCCGGAGGTTTCATCCTGAGCCGACTCCGCGCTTAGAACCGCCTGCCTCTGCAGGAGCTACTCAGCTGCTCTCCTTCTCCTACTTGCGACTCCAGGCCCGGGCCATGTTAGCGGATGTTAGCGGATCTCATGAACTGGTAACTGGAGCTTCCAGGTGCCCAGGCTGCCAAGGTCGCCCTGCAGTCCAAGCTTAGGCCAGTCGAAAGAATCTGCAGCCTCCAGGGAGGCTTCGCATGAACTAGAGGACCTAAAAAAGCCTTCCCAGGTATGCCATGGAGACGGACAGCGCTCAGATGTCTGCCAGCGCCGCTTGGCACACGAGCTCGCGGCGCAGTGAGCGCGAGCATGGGAGTGTTCTGGTTGAGGCTCTCTTTGCCAACCTTTCCTCCCTGGCCTTGTCAAGTTCTTTGAGCATCGGCCAGAATGCCACTCAGGACCGTCAACACATTCTTTTAACCAGTCCAGCGTAGCCGCGTAGCCTGTGGTTCCAGGCCAGCGACTCCCTCAATAAGATGGAGTCCTTGCTCCTGAGCCTGGGGCGTCAGCCGACAACAGACAGCAACATGGTGGAGGCTGCGAGAGAGCTGCTGATGCTGTTGGACTTGGCCTGAGCTTTGCTTGCGCAGACTGCAACCATGATCGGCAGAATTCTCGAAGACAGCATGAAGGCAAAGCTTTTTCGCCATGGATGCTCCTTTAGTAAACAGCCCGCCCCTGACAAGTCGCCAGGCAACCATACGAACGCAGCTGGCGCTGCAGCAAAAGAGCCTGGAAACTGCCGTGGGGACCATCAGTGCGTGCGCTTCACACCTCAAGTACGATGAAGCCAAAGTGCTTCGAGCTCCTCGGCTGGAAACCCTAAATCCTAAACCCTAAACCCTAAACCCTAAACCCGTCACAAGCGCCACTCTGCCCCCAGGAGCAGCTTCCGGCTCTTGCCGCGGCACACCAAGACTGCCGAAAGGAGGAGGGCATCGGAGCCCAGTCCGTCGAGGAATGCGAGGAATCCCTTGCAGAGCACAAGACATCCCATGCCACAGCCACTCGTCCTGATTTTAAACTCCAACTCCGGAAATTGCTCCGCTTGCCACTGTTCACGGCAAGGGCTGTCCGAGAGATGAGGCGCGCATTGACTGCGACGCAGTCGTTGATTATCCAGCTGGAGGTCGGGGAGCCTTGTGGGTCACGACGATAGGATCGATAGGAGCCCAGCAGATCGTGCGACTGTGAGTGTTGCATAATGTTGCATAGAGCGCCTGCCCACCGTCGCCCCGCACTTGCGTGGTGACAGCAGAAGCAGCTTTCGAGGCAAGGAGGGGCCTAGGCCGGGGCCAACGAAAGTCACGGAGCCGCCCCACACTGGGAGAAGCTGCTCTCAAGAACAACTTACTCGTAGGACGTAGGAGCTTTTTGGATTTGCTCTTTCGCAAGGAAAAGCAGAGCCCCGTCCTGTTTCGAGCTGAAAGCCTCTCCCCCGATTCCCCAATCGCATTGAACGACAAGTGATGTGTACTTCGAGCCTGAGCAGAACCATTCTGATTTTCCATTCGGTACAGTAGTGAGTGGAGTCCCTGTTTGGCATGTCATGTGCAGGCTGTGCGGGTTGCTGTTCCCTGAGGTCGCGGGCTTTGTAACAACCGGGTAGGCAGCGTTGCCGACCACTACCGCAACCTCCACACTTTCTGGGACCGAGATTGTGTGAGTTCAGAAGCGACGTTCTTCGAGAGTCCACGGTAGAGGGTCCTAGAGAGCCTTTGCTTCAGGATGAATACCTCAAGTGGTATGAGTCTTTGGCAGCAAACGGCCCCCTGCATGCTGTTGTTGCCCGTGTGCCACAGCTTGTTTTTTGGTTCGAACTAAGGATGGTAACATGACCATCTGCAATGCCCTTCAGGTAGGTTTTGCGCTGCATTTTGGAGTTGATATCTCGGTGCCTTAGTCTGTCCATGGGGCAGGCAAAGGTGGAGAGCACCACCGCCAACTGTTCCAATCTATCCGTGGCTCATGATGCGCAGCGCCGGAAATGCAACGCCCGGCAAGCCCTTTGTTTGCAAAACGGGCACGTGCAAATGTCTCGGCTCGAGTGAGAAGGCCCTGTGCTCATGACGTCCAAGCCAGAAACTTAACTGTCAGGCACAGCTGGATACCACATCTTGTGGTTTTGTGACCAACGCAGAGAACGGTTGCCGCCTTGGTTCCAGGGCCTTTGAGAGCGGCAGATCAGACTCAGTCAACGCAAACACATGCCACATCCTGGAACGTTTCGTAGCCTTGCAAGGCTGTGCAGCCTACTCACGGTGTTACGACCAGACGCTGGCAAGTTTCATCACCCTGAACTCAACCGTCGCTGAGGAGGATCAACGGCTGTGAGGGCTGCGAGGAACTTCAGGCGTCCAGGCTTGAGCCCCGGCAGGAGCGAACTTTGCGGCAGGAATGGCGCGCCGTGCTGCGCATCGAGTGCCCTCGGCAGGAAATCGCATAGATCTCCCATGTAAACACCCCTTGCATCCCCTTGCAATGTGTGCCTGAAATAAATGCCACGACGAGCCGAAAACAGGTGTCTCCTCAAAGCGCTCTTGAGTGACAACAAGAACGCGGCCATCGACCGCTGCATAGGCCGTGCGAAAGATGTCTCCATGTTGCGGGTCTGTTTGGAGCAAAGCGTGTGTCGGCTTTCAGGGTAAAATGCCCTGAGCTCTGAGACAGGGCGGGTGCACAGCCTCGATGAGATCAGTGTCGATTACTCGCCAGTTCCCAGGCCACTTAACGCTGCTCAGATTGCAATGTTTCTGGGACTTGTATGTCCAGTCGCTGCATCCTGAATTCTTGAGGAAACGTATCCGCACGATACGTTGTGCAAGAATCTGACTGAGTACGTGCCTGTCACTGAAGCTTATGCCAAGCGATGGTACGATGCAGGGAGCTCGGGCCTGTCGGGGGTAGCTGCAGCGGCCGATTTTCTACTCTGACTCACCAAGGGCCTGCCATCTTCGGCTCAGGCGGCGACTTGTGACGACGGCACACACTTGGACTTTAGGGTCAAATGACACGTCCGGACAGGAAGAGTCTCGCATCGTGCGCTTCTGCCCTTCGAAGAGCGGCGGCCCTCACCACCAGGCAGAAGCTCAAAGCAAGGTACTCGTAGAGCGTTTTGGGGACTCCACATCGCAGGCCCAGGCGATGCAGCATGCCTGCAAAGGGAAGGTCGTAGTGCCGACCAGATCTCAGGCGCAAGCGCTGGGTCCGAGTCTCCCGGCCTTCGGAGACCTCCTCTGTCGCAGCAGGTGAGCTTCAGCAGCTCCAGTGTGGCCCAGCCCGGCCCTGGCCTTGATGCGGAGACGTCCTGGGCCCCTGCAGAGGCCCCGCTTTAAAAATCAGGAAAGTGCGGAGAACAGAAGGGCTCAAAAGGGCACCCCCTTTAAATCATGGCCCTGTTACGCGAGGCGCGTGCCGGGGAGTTTCTCACGGTGGACCTCGGCGAGGAGGCCCAATTCACGCGGCAGTTCCCGAAAGCTTTCCTGACAAGCAGCAGGTGCGAGTGGGTGGCACCTATGTTCAAGGAGGTTCTCTGGAACGCAGGCAGGAACAGACAAAACTGCGCGGCGGGGGACCAGGCAATGGGCGGGAGCATCTCGGAGGTGCTTGGACAGCTGGGTGACAACATACATGGTCCAGTACAGCGTGAATGGCTCCTATTCCAGCCTGTCAGCCCTCTGAGACCAGATATCCGTTGTGCGGTAGTGATAGAAGCTTTCCTGGCCTCTGCAACTTGTTGAGGCCGGAGGCACTGCGAGGTAGCCATGACTGCTCGGCCAAGGCATCTGGGTGGGAAAGGGCGGGGCGCGTTGCTTGAAGTGAAGAGACCAAAAAGACCCTTCCTTTCAGGTTGGCACACGCTTCGACGTGCCACTGCAAGCACGCTTCCTGCGATTCGTTATGGAGTCTTGGCACGGACACGGCTCAATGCGAGTGGGCCGGGAGCTCTGTGCTGGCACGTTGCAATATCGTCGGTATCATCGCAAAGTGCCGCACTAGTCTTGCAGGTGTTCTCGTCTGTGACTGACATGGGCCTACGAGAAGCCGAACTTGACTGTGGTCATCTGCGCGCGGCAATCTGCCACTCTGACGTCGGCTGCCTCCAAGCCGATTTTTCGGCGAGTACTCAAAGCTGTCGCGGTGAAAATGCTTGCCTGGACCGCAAGCAATGTGCACGTTGCCCGTTGCTTCCCCTGTTTGCTGTGCCATGTGTCTGCATGCCCCGCATGGCAAGGCAGACGAGTTGAGCCAGATGGCCCGGTGAGCAAAATGTCCCGAATTCTCTCGTCAAGCATGTTGTGCGCGAGCGTCGTCCGACTGCTGACGGTCATCCGTCGTCTAAAATCGCAGTGCCTATGACCTGGTGCAGAGAACTGGCGAATCAAAGTAGCCCTAGCCTTACATCATATCAGTCTACATCAGAGTTCTTGATGGTCGCTTGCTGTCAGCATTGCGGCCAAGCTTTTGACAAGGAGTTTCAACGCTTTACCGAGAATCAGCAAGTAATTCGGAGGTGCCTTCAGTGGAAGCGCTTGATTCCTGAAGACACCGAGCTAATGTGAAATGTCTATCAATGCGGGCGAAAATATCCTGCGCAACACGGGTGACCAGCTTTCTTCCCGCTGCGTGCTTCACTCCATTCGCCGTCGCTAAATTTGATCAAGTTGCGGTGGTAGGCATGACAGCAACAAGAACCCAAGCATTGGATTGGACCCAGTGCCTGAGCGAGGTGTGCCAGGACAGCATGTGGCGAAGTAAAGACACGGCAGAGGAGGTTAAGGGCACTCACGCCTGAGTATCGCAGAGACCGTCTGCTGACAGCAGGCCGTGCCAGCCACAGGTAAGCTTAAGTTCTTCTTCGCAAGAGCCGTATATAGTGCAAGTTGAACTGAGGTGGTGTGAGCCATGGTGATGGAGAAGAAGGTCCGATGGGGGAGTGCTGCTGGTGGTGCTGCTAGTGGTCCGCAAGCGCTGAGCAGGACTGGGAGACGATCGAGCGGGTCTTGGCGGCCAAGGAAGCCGAGCTGCTGCAGCAGGTTCCAAAGTGGATTTTTTTTTTGCCGCAGTTGAGCTCGCAGTGTTGCCGTTGCCCAGGAAGGTTCCAGCCTCGAGGACAGCCATGTGAGTGGCTACAGGTCGCCCTGTGGATGTTGCATACGGTCGCATGCCATCCCAATTGACTTCTATTCTGGTGGTGCCCAGGTACGTGCCAACGACCAAGGTCGTTGACAAGCAATCCTGGGAAACCTTTGCTGTGCCTCACATCCGGCCAACCTGCGGGCATTGGTCTCAGAAGATCTCGCATATCTCTCGAAGGCAGGGGTAAAGAAACCATGCCGATAGTATTCTCGAAGGTCAGAGAATTGGCACCACAAAGACGTACTCTTCGAGATTGGTGAGGGCATCGCCTACATCACACTGAACAGGCAACCAAATTCTTGGCATGACCGTGCCTGTTCAAGCCCCGCATCTGCTGGGGCACCTGCATTGCATTGTGGGCAAGCTTATCGCTTCAGGCCTGAGGCGAACAATGCGTTGAACGAGACCACATCGCAAGCTCTTCAAGATGCGACATGCGAGCTCCACATGCGCCACGCGACCCAGAAGTTGCGCAAGCAATTTAAATCAGCGTTTGAGCAACCTGCTCTCCCCGAGGCCGGGACATCCGCATCGTGGTGTTGCGAGCCGAGGGCAGCATGTTTTGCGTGGGATGCTAAGCCGCTGCTCAGAGCAGCGCTCCGAGAGCTCGGAACTCGGAACTCGAGGCTGGCGGTGACCCGAAGCACTTCTTCGATGCCTTGGCCATGGCGGAAAGAGATGACCGGAAGGCTTCCGTGCCCGAAAGATGTGGGGCTGCTGGCGACGCTGGTTCTTGCAGGCAGCCATTGGCTTCATGAAGTTCCTCTTCTGGTTCCAGAGCCTCCCGCAGTTCACCGTCGGGCTTGCACAGGCCAGGGACACTGCAGTCACCGCATGTTGCTATCCCCCATCGCCTGCATCGCGACGAGGGCTCTGCCATGGGCAGCGGGATCGGCCTGCTGTGTGCATGCCTGGGGCTCGGGCACAAGAAGAACTTGGGTTTTGGCGAGTCGCCGCATGTCCGAAAGGCGTGTGCTTGCGTCGTTGAAGGTGACATGGTCCTGGCGGCAAGCGCGGCCCGTTTCACTTGCTCAGAGGCCCTTTGCAGCATCCCATTGCAGCGGTTCTTATGTGCCGCACAGTGGATCTCTTGCTTCCTTGCTTATTGGTGCGTTTCTTTAGGTGAAGTTGGGCTTCTGCCCGGCCGCCCTGGCACCGTTCGTCACCAGGAAGGTCGCTCGCCTCAGCCGAAAGGGACAGGACGTGAGTCTTGAGACCTTGGCGTCGCATTCTGAGGTTGGGCCGGCATTCGCCAAGCGTTTGCTCTGCATGGCTGGCTGGCCGAATTTGTCTTGAGCTGCTTGAGGAGCAGAGCATATTGAGCAGTTGGGCATGTCGACAGTCGGTTCGCAGCAGCAAAGGCCGAAAATATTTCTGCCGAGCAGGCAAAACGGTGCAGACCTCACTTCTGCCTGGCAACCGCGGAGACAACATCTCCTCCCTTTGCCATGATGCGTCTCCTCCACCTCAGGATGGGCCTCATTTCCGATGCTCGATCCTGAAGACCTTTTCGGTTACAGGAGCGTAGTTTGATGTGCTCTAGCATCGCGAGGTGGTGGAAGAAGAAAGCGAATTCTCCGACTACATGAAAGACATCTGCGAGAAGGTGACGCAGGGGACCGAGAAAAGAGCAAGGCAGTTCCCCAGGATGCACAGCCGTCACGCCCGCACTCCCACAAGATCCTGACCCGAGGCTGTGCGCACCTACGGCCGCTGGCCGCGCCAAGCGCTTGGCGCAGAACGTCAGCCTGCAGCCGCTGACCCGCAAGTTGCCGCAACCCGAGCGAAAGTGAACCTTGTTCGCCTTCTCGATGCTCTCGACGACGAGCTCGTCACGTTCTGCTCAGGTTGGAATACACAGGGGGAGAGCTAGCAGACATCCGCATAGGACTCCTCACGAGTACGCAAACATGTCCATGCCCATTTGTGCCGCAACTGCAGTGCTGGCGTTGCCGGTTAGCAATGCCAGAAGAGCTGTCGAGGAGAGGAGGCCATCAAAGGCATGGTTGCCGTTCAGGCCAGGCAGCTCCAGCGAGTTTCTGGCATCCCTTGGTTTCCTTTTTGGGGGCCTTGTGAGGCGCGTGTGAAGCCCTACTGGGCTGAGACCCCGATCAAGCCCTTGTACTGATGGCTCCGTCCATGTTAAGGGACCAGGAACTGCCCTTTGCCTTTGCATGCCGTCAGATCAGAGACAGGCTGAGTGTAGGTGATCTTCCATGACTGCTTGATAGCAGTGTAGGCAATCCGTGCTTCTCGTTTTCGCTTAGGACTTCGTCTTCCCAGCATATAAGGTTCTTCCCTTCGCATTCTCTGTGGGAGTTGTTATAGGATGTGTTTGCACGTGTGAGTTGTTTCCGTCTGCGCCTTGGCCGCGCAAAACAGCATGAGCGCAGCACATTGTCTCCATGAATGACAGGTGGATAGCAAGAAGTCAGTGACACAGCTCGGGATGTTGTCAACCGACAACGGGAAGCAACAGATCCTTGTGCAGCTTCGAGGCTTACGAGTCAAGGTCAGACTTTCTTCTTCCATTTTCAGCAAACTTCCGCCTTCGGTCACTAAAGCTTTAACGCAAAGCACACGGCAACCGTTCTGAGAACATGCCAAGACCCTTCTGAGACAGCACGTGGGTCCAAGCACGTTCAGAGCCCGTCCCCGTGCCATGGCTTCTGGCCACCTGCCCAGCTCAAGCGATTCTAACTAACAAGCTGCTTCTGGTGGTGACTTGCTTGCCGCATTAGGTGACGTCGTTGCGAAGCCACCAGAACACGTTCGCTGTAAGAACTTCGGATGTACCCAGCCCGGTTCCCAGCCGAAGGGATCTAGTAGCAGATCTTCTGGAGCTCCGGTCAGCGAGGTTCTTCGATCCGAGATACCCAGAGCAAACGGTGTTCAGCACTCGGCGGGTGAGATTACGTGATGTTTTTCGCTGCTTTGCTTGGCCAAGGTGTACTCACCATCGGCTTCCGCCGGTCTTCCACGAGACCGCGAAGTACTGGGCCTGCTGTCCAGACAAGAAGGCTGGAGAAAGTCGGAGGGCCCTTTGTAGCACTTCAGGTAGAGAATGTGGACCAGCAGAGCAGAGCTTGTTGGGCTGACTACCTTGGGTGACCTTTCGTGCGACACGGTGCGACCGAGCGACCTCGGCTCTGCAGGCATACGATTGGGAGGAATTCATGAAGATCCCGGGATGCCAAACAGGCCTAGAAGCAGCGTCACTGTGACATGTAGGTCCATCTGCACGTCGAATGTCTGGGAGGACACTGCACCAACGTCGCCAAGGACAAGAAGTTCTTAGGAGGCCGCCGGGCGTTCGTCGGAAAGTGCCCAAGGGGTCCTGTCGTCTAGGGCCGTCTATATAATGAGCGAGACTGGAGGCGCCGATATTCGGGCCGAGCACGCGCCCAAGCGCTTGGACGACGAAGTGCCCGTCGATCCGAGAAAGAAGCTGGCCGGGGGAGTCCGCTAAAAAAGCCTTTGGCTTTGTGCCGAGCTCCGAGCTCGGAGCGTGGTGCAGGACCGCTTGCGCGAGGGCCTCGTGAGCCTCGGTGTGACGGCCTTAAGAGAACTAAGAGCACGCGTGACAAAGAGCGCCATTGGCAATTCGAAGCGCCTTTTGAGGTGAGTGCCGACGACTTCGATCGTGCTTGGGGTCGCCTGGGTGCAAAGCTCGGGGACCGGTTGAAATCCGAATTTCTGCTGTCAGCAAGCGCCAGATGTCAGAGGGCCCTTTCCCGCCCTTGGACTTGAGAGGACTTGAGCTTGGTCGCACAGAAGATGAACCAGCTCTTCACGGAGACGTTGCAGACGATGGACTGGGGCCGCGGCTTCTGATGTTTTATGACGGCTTTGCATGGCTTCGCGTGCATGGTATCGTACCATCAGGATACGGATGACATGAACCTGCCAGACTGAGCCGCAGCTCAATTGTGGCTGAAGCCGAGGGCCACTGCCACCAGTGCACCAAAAACCCCGCGCTGACAGCTTGAAAAACGAGCAGTTGCGGCAGCATGACAGCATGAATGGATTATCAGCTGCCCCTGTGACTTACCCATCACCGACCTGCTGGCATGCGCACTGGGCATGCAATGGGCAATGGACATCCTTAGACTCCCTTAGACCTCGGTGTGTGTTTGCATTGCTTCGGGATGACTGTGTCGTCGCTTGTCGAGCTCTTGCTAGGTGGAGAGACCACAGCACGGCATAGAGCCGCCTATCGAGTATATAAGCCCATGCGCAGTGGAGACCTCCGTAACCCACTCGCAACGTACTCGTCCGTCCGTATGTCTTTCCTTTGTTGGCCGCTTGGACACTGGTTGAAGGGAGTTTTTCTGTTGCTGCTCGCGTGGGTCCGGCCTTGATAGATAACAGATGCGAATATCGTTATCAGGATCCAGGCGCGCATCTTTCATGTTTTTCTGGTGCTGGCAAATGGAAACATGCCAGAACCCGTGTGCTTTGCATACAAGCTTTTCATGCGTTTGCACTTTCATGCGTTTGCACCTCCCCTTGATCCTCACCTGCACCTGCCACGGCCTGCGTATGAGTACGAAGGACGAAGATTATCGAACTGCCTGCTCCACCTCCGCCCATGAACATCAACATGCCGGTCCATGAAGCGACATATTCAGGTCGTTTGCAAGGGCCTTCCGTCTCGACACAGAGCACAGGTCGCCGTAGATGCCCCGTCGCAAGTCCGGTCACTTGGTCGGCCACAGCTGGGTTCTGACGCCCGCCCGGGTTGGGTCCTCCGCTCCGCTGTGAAGCACAACAGTCGCCTCATCGTCTTCTTGCCGCCGGTTGTTCCGCTGAACGCACCGAATGGCACCCAAAGCCCAAAGCTGTTCCTCAACACCCGTTCATGTTCCATCGCTGTTGGTCTGGTCGAGCAGAGACGAGACTTCCAGCCTGTCCACACGGGATCACACGGGCCGAGCTGTCGGTATCAGCGGCGTGAGCCTTCCGACAAGGTCACCTGTCACTTCCCCTCTCCTTGTTGGATCACGCGCGGTTGTGGCATCTTCGGACTTCCTCTATTCTATAAATCAGTGTTGGCTTTCTGCAACTCGTGCACAATCAGCATGATTGAGCGTTGCAGAAGCGCATACGCAAGTTAGCAACAGGAAGGCCGATTTTCCATCGCGGTTCGGGCCAAAGATGGCCAAAGCTTTGCAACAATTCTCCTCCCAGCCCAAGCTCTGTCGGGTATCCAGCCCTGGCACCTCATGCTCGATAATCCCTTCGACAAAAGACGGCTGTGCAGTTCAGAAGTGCTTGTTTGCAGTTCCCTCCGCCTGCTCACTTCTTGCCGAGCCGACACACCGCTTTGCCCGTTCATGGCGTGGGCCCCTGTGTTATTTCCTCAGTCCGAGGTCGCTCACCTAATTTTTCTCGCTGTGCCAAGCATGCCTCCTGCACCCCGGTTCTGTTACATCCTCATTTCCATGGGTGTATGGCGTTCCCAAGCGGATCCCCTTTGCAACACGCATTCCGCCTTCGCACTCAAGCCGGAATAAAGTTGAACCGTGGCCAGCCGCGCAATTGCGCAATTTGTTGGCAGCTTTTTCCGGGACCTCGTCGTGTGTAGGGCGGGGAAGAGGTGGGGCGGCATCTCAGAGGGCAAATTGTGCCGCGAGATACTCGGCAGAGCCAGGAGAGTGTGCAGCCACGAGCACCTGCCTGCCATTTGCGGTGATCGGGGCAGCTGATGTCGACCTGTCCGGTGGTGCTCGTGGCGGCGCGGCGGCACTTGTGCGCCGCCCCAGTCATCGGTCGAAGCGCCTGGAGGGTGCCATCAGCTTTAATTTTCCCATGACTGACACGCCGCTCCGCAACATGCTGCGAATCTCGACGTTGCTCCGTACTCCTCTACCAAATGTGGGCATGCTAACAGCCAGCCATGCGATGCCATGCGTGTCTGAGTCTACGTTTACGTGGCAAGAGTGTGTTCCTCCGTTTTTTTCGTGTTTGCTTTGGCCCAGCACTTCTCCGAAACGTTGCAAGCGTGCCGTTGGCCCCGGGCTACCCGCGCAAGGCTCGGGCGATGCCGGGGCCGGCGCCCCGAGCTGCCTCGTTTGAATGGCGCGGCGTAATGCGCCATTGCCCCCATCATAGACAGCACGCTACGTCTCGGAGGGCTCCTTGCCGCAGCCTGACTGCCGCACGTACGAGAATGGGGGTTTTTGCTGCAGATGCTGCAGTTGCCTCAGCCTCTTGTTGCCTTACACTGTGTGTGGCTCCTCCAAACAACCTGTGCAGCAGCGCGACCAGCGCAAGGCGAACGCAGATACAGTCTCTGCCCGTGTGGCGACGGGGGCTGCTCGCGGATTCGGGCCAGCAGTCGGACGAACTCAGCGGCCTTGGGGACCGCCGCCCCCCAACCTCAATGCCGAGGACAACCAATCGGCACCGGTTGCCTTGCGCGAGTTCGGGATAAGTCTTTGCTTTGGCGCGTTCGGCGACCTTTCAAGCTGCATCTGCAGTCATGCCTTTGTCACGGCGTGGCATCCCAGCAGCCGTGAAGGGCGACACCAGGGTTGTGTCGACAGCGAGTTGCGCTCCGCCCCACAAAAACAGGCCGTTAGCAATGCCTTCAATCTTTGCGCCGGTCGTCCGGCCGAGCGGGGGCAACATTGAGGTCGCGCACCAGGACATGTGTGGCAACTGTCGCCCCGGCCTCCCTGCAAACACGCGTCGCAGCTTGCTCGAGGGGGCCGAGCGCAACACGCCGGAGCGCGGGCAAGCCGCAAGGTGGTCACCGCATGCATCATGTGGCTGGCGGCAGCGGCATCTGGCTGCGGTGAGCGGGAGCGGCAGGCGCAACCGCCTCAGCAGAAGGGCTCGGAACAAAGGCGACTGCAAGGTGAGCTTGGGTGAAGTTGGCCATGCAGTGAGGACACGGGCAGCATAGGGTCCCGCTTGTGATTCAAGCAGGGCGGCTGAGGGCGCATCCAGCTCACGAAGCAAAGCCCTGTGGCAGAAGCTGTCAACAGCCTGGGAAGCAGGACGCTGCCAGCCGCGGGTAGTGTCGAGGTGCGGCTCACCTTCGGGGACCAACGGCGCAGCCTGTCCAGCCAGCAGGTCGTGCCAGGACGGGGGCTCAAAGCCAACAGCAAGTAAAAAACTGGGGTGTCATCCGTGTTTTGTTGAAGTTCAGCGCGCACAATTTGGTTTATTTGGACGGCTCTTGGGCGTGTCAAGTTGCCAGTGACATGTCACATTTGGGCAATCCAGAAACTGTTCACTGATGGAAGCGCAGTTATGTAAACTGTGTCGCAATTCTGGGAAACTGTTCTGCGAGGAATGTGCGGGCACCAGATGTCCACAGCGGCAAACGTTCGTACCAAATTGACGTGGCTTCTCATCCAGCTAGAGGACGGGCCAATTGATTCGCGAGACATACAACATAGAAGGCAGAACGCATCACTGAAACAAGCTTCGCCGAAAGACCGTATGCAGCCGACAGTCAACCCAGCCTCGCCTTTCAACAAGCTGCGCGCGCAAGCGGCGCGACACCTACCCCAAGATTTCGCGCTCGCGATGCCACCTCATGGTTTTCGCGGTTGAGATCGGAGGCCGTTGCTCGAGCTTCCCTCGACACCATCGCCTCTGCTGCCGGCGAGCCGGCTGTGCATGAGGTCCTGCAAAACGAATGCTGGCTCCACGCCCCTGCCGCCAACCCACTGCAGCTGCAGTGGGGTCGTGCTCGTACAGGCTGTGGAAAGTAGGGGAGAAAAAATGAAACACTTGACTTCTGAAATCAATGCCGTCCGTCGTCATCGTAATACTTGGCTGGAACGACTGTTGCACACAGCTGACGGGAAAACATCAGGAAGCCGCACCGAGGCTCCAACGTTCTATAGCCTCGGGCCTGGAGCTTCATGCTCCGTTATAATGCAATGATTTGTCTCAGGACTCTCGCTTCCTCAGCCCCCGGCCGCGCCTCGCCGGAGCGAGTGACCGGGCTGACGCAAGTGGTATCGACAGCAAGTCGAGCCCCGTGCCAAAAAGCAGGCTCGCAAGGCGCACGCTGCGGGCGACCCGAGTGCCAGCCTTCTGGCAAACCCTGTCCCTGGCGACAGCTCGCTCACGTGGGAGGGCGCGGGAGGCAGCGGGAGCTCGCACAAGCTGCTGGTGGTCGCCGAGCGGGTCAAGCAAACCACGGCAGGCGCAGAGTCGGGCGAGGTGCGAGTGGCAACGACAAGCGCAGGCGGCGCAGAAGGAGCACTCGGAACTTTGCGGAGGAAAAGCAGCAGGCGGGTGTGGCCCAGCCAGGGCCTTTGAGCAGCGAGGTGGTTGGCGGTTTGCGATGCCGCCGCGATGGCAATCGAGCCGCTGGCAGGGGGTGCGGCGAGCACGTGCAGGCGATCTGCGGGGAGCGAGCAGAAATTGAACGCAGTGTGTCACGCCAGGAGGCCCAGCGGGCCGCATAGGGATCGGCAGATGCTAAGCGCAGCCCAAGTCCGCCGTGCCCAATGGCAAGCTATGCAAGCTGCGAGGTCTGTACTGCGGCAGTTGGCAGTTGATCGCCGGTGTGCACAAGGGAGCTCAAGCAAGTCGCCATAGCGGCATCGCAGTCCGCAGCGAAGTGGGCTTTGAGTGCGGGCCGTTCAGTAGCCACGCAGCTTGCAGGTTTGAGACTTCGGGGATGCGGCTGTATCCGTTTCGCGGCCAGGAAGCTGTGGACGTACTCGTCAGTAACGTCGGTACCGAGCAGCGTGCCGAGTGGCAGAGACCAGTCCCCTGTCCAGATGAGTTCTTCGCCGCGGCAGCTCAAGCCGGAGATGTGTGCAGGCTCCTCTCTAGCCGCGTTTTCGCAATGGAAAATTCAGCGATTTTTTGTTCGAGCCTTTCTTCCTCGGCATGAGTCTGAGGAGCCAGTATTCCATTCGCCTGGGTTTTCGGGTTCCCGGCTT